TAAATGCATGACCTTTTGTATGACTGCATAAACTGTTGTATGAATGCATAATTGTATTAATTCGTGAGTTGTACTCATACACGAGTGATTGTTTTAATGTATTGGTAAGTTGTACGTTTCTGCAAGAGTATGAATGTATGATTGACTTCATGGACGGTTGTATGAATGTATAAACGACAGCATGGGAGGATGTATGAATGTATGATTGACGGCATGGACGGTTGTATGAATGTATAAACGACAGCATGGGAGGATGTATGAATGTATGATTGACGGCATGGACGGTTGTATGAATGTATAAACGACAGCATGGGAGGATGTATGAATGTATTGCTTGACGCGGCATGGACGGTTTGATGAATGTATAAACGACAGCATGGGAGGATGTATGAATGTATGATTGACGGCATGGACGGTTGTATGAATGTATAAACGACAGCATGGGAGGATGTATGAATGTATGATTGACGGCATGGACGGTTGTATGAATGTATAAACGACAGCATGGGAGGATGTATGAATGTATGAAAAACACAGGGACGGTTGTATGAATGTATGAAAGAGAGCATATACAACTGAACGAAGGATAACATGGACGGTTGTATGACTGTATGATTGTATGAAGATCCTCAGAGCCTGTGGTTCACATAGAACCACAGGCTCTGTGGTTCAGAACCCTCTGTTGTTCCTACAGAGATGGTGCAAGGAATTCAATTTATAGTTTTGCCCTCTCTCTCTCTCTCTCTCTCTCTCTCTCTCTCTCTCTCTCTCTCTCTCTCTCTCTCTCTCTCTCTCTCTCTCTCTCTCTCTCTCTCTCTATTCCTTCCTGATCCTCCTCCTTTCCTTCCTATTGTCGCTATTCCCCTCTTTATCTGCTATGTCAGTTCCCCCTTGCCCTCTCCCACTGTCTGTCTAGTGAGAGGATTCACACTACATTCTTTCCACACCCACACCCACAACACACACACACACACACACACACACACACACACACACACACACAGGGGGGGCCGATGCCCCTGTTCACCTAGAAGTAAATAGGTACCTGGGAGTTAGACAGCTGGTACGGGATGCTTCCTCTGTGTGTGTGTGTGTGTGTGTGTGTGTGTGTGTGTGTGTGTGTGTTGTGTGTGTGTGTGTGTGTGTGTGTGTGTGTGTGAAATATGTAGATAAGACAGAAGAAAATAGATTAGTAGTCAGTACATTAGACAACCGATGGTTAAAAAGGCGGGGTCCAGAGCTAACAGCTCTTGGATCCTGCAGGCACAAATAGTAAATACACACACACACACACACACACACACCACACACACACACACACACACACACCACACACACACACACACACACACACACCCACCCACACACACCCACACACACACACCACCCACACAACAGGACACACACACCCACACACACACACACACACACACACACACACACACACACACCACCCACACACACACCACACACACCCACACACACACACCACACACACACCCCACCCACACACACACACACACACACACACACTAGCTTTTATGGAAAGCTAGTTCTACACTCCCTTGTTCTTGTCTTCCCTTGGCTGAAGCTTGGTCTCCCCTTCGTCTTCGACGAGGAAGTTTCATTCTGCAACTTCTACCAGTTTTGCTCTCCATGTTTTTTCACCTCATCTCGGATCCATTAATTCCCAAACAATTTGTCCATGATTGGAATCTTCCGTTACTAGTAGCTTCCCGCCAAACACACACCGAAACTACGGCGTTGGTACAACGTTCGAACAAGTTTTAACGCCTTCTACCCAGTTATAACAACCAATATAGCAAGTTGTAACAACGTTCTAATACGTCATAAACACGTTAAGCCAAGATGTAACAACTTTATTACAAGTTGTAACAAGCGGAAAATAAGAGACAGTTTCGGTTTGTGTTTCCAGGGTTTGCTCTTTTGCATTCTCGTATTTTTGTCTGGGTCTTCAATAATTATCTGGGGGATTGTATCCAATTTTCTCCTTTCACCGACATGATTTCCACAACATAATCCGCATTATTGATATCCTCCTCTACAGCGATCTCTTCAAACCTGTTATCTCTTTTGACCCCGCTTACCCTTCTGCTTTCTTTCTCGTCTTGCTATCTGGTATTGTCTCGGGAATTTGCATTAGTACTCATTTCCGTTATTGTAGTTTCTACTATTTCTATTTTATTTGGGTTTGTTTTATCAGTCCTTTCTTTCAATTCACCCGCTTTATTTGATAACCCATCAACATTTGTGTTCCAGATTTTTAGCCTCGTCATGGAAAGCATAAGGGGCGGATGGGCTTGAGGAGAGAGCCTTGAAGTGGAGGACAGTTTAATAGTGATGGTTAGTGGTTTAACTGGTAGAGAGGAGGAGGGGCATGTTGTTTGGGGGAAGGCTACGAACATATGCTGTGGATCAGGAATCAGTGAGGTATATAAAGAATAGTTGTGGCGTGTGGGAGAGGAGACAGGTGGAACGGAAGATAGACGATAGAAGGTTGTTAGGTTCGGCTGGGGCAAGGTCATAGGTACTCACCTAATTGTGCTTGCGGGGGTTGAGCTCTGGCTCGTTGGTCCCGAAATCAGGTGTGATGCCTTAGTTACGCACTTGTTGTCAGCACTGGTTACTGGTTGTAACTGAACTCCCTGCATGTTCTGGCGGTAATTTACCAAACGCCTGCCTCCTCCTCTCACCAATACCTTAGACAGGATGCTCCCTAGGCTGCTGAGAATTGGTGTGAGATTCTTCCCCTGTTGCCCCTTTGTCCACACCCCTTAAATTCTCTCTCTGTTCCTACCTCCTCCTTGTACACCAGTAGACGGGGTCTCAAGAGCTAGACCCAACACCCTCGTCGTCACGGTTAGTTAAGCACCACATATCTTGGATTTACTTTCTCGCAGGACTCGCCAGTGCTCCCTAAGAGACTCCCTTCAGTCTTCTCTTTCTCTTGATTAACGTGAATCCTTTCAAGAGCTCTTGGCACCAGGAATAAGAGAAATGTGGCTAAGGAATCCTTACACTGACACAACACTCCCAAGTTTCCCCCTGAGAGAGAGAGAGAGAGAGAGAGAGAGAGAGAGAGAGAGAGAGAGAGAGAGAGAGAGAGAGAGAGAGGATAAAGTAATAATAAATCCATACCTGACATCCAATAATAACAAAACTAAAATAAACTATACTACACAAACACCATTAACTACTAATTGTATTTACCAAACTACAGCCATTAAGCTATAACTACAATCAGTACCACAATCACCTCTCCAGCCACCACACCTACCACTATTTACATCAAAGCAAACATTACCAACGATACAACTACTACTAACTACCCCACTATATTAGAACTACTATTGGGACGGAGTTGTAACAACCTTAAGCCTATGTATTTCATCGCCAGTAAACGAAAGTATTTATTACTAATATTTTTTTTAATTATTCTTTTAATTCATGTTTATTTTAAATAATTTTCTCTCGTGCTATTATTTACATTCTTAGTATCTTTATTAAAGAATATTGTGTTGTTTTAAATACATAATCCCCCCCCTCGTTTTAGTTTTTAAAACAGGAGTTTTTTGTTAGTTTTTAAAATATTTAAAAAATGTTTTAAATACATCATCGCCTGTTTTAGCTGTTTTAAATACATAATTCCCCCCTGTATTAGATTTTAAAACAGTTTTTTTTAGTTTAGTTTTTAAAATGTTTTAAATACAAAATCGCCTTTTTTTAGTTGTTTTAAATACATAATCGCTTTTTTTTAGTGGTTTTAAACACATAATCAGCAGTTTTACTTCTTTTTATTACAAAATCGCCGGTTTTAGGTCTTTTAAATTAGAGGTATTAGTTCC